AACCGTGGCTAAACCGAAACCCCCATGAGCTCCCGAGACACCCACTGCATGAGCATGACAAATCCTCCTAGCTCACCCCAAGACAACCGACACTGCCAGACGAGGCCAGACAGAAAGACAAGGATGAAGACGCTCCCTGTGCCCCTTCAAGGACGTCCCCTGAGAGCCGGCCATGCAGAAGGGAAATGCTTAGAGACCACCTTTGCTCTACACTAAGTGGGGCTGCCCAGCGCTGGCCTTGTGCCGGCTCCCAAGAAGTTATTTTTCTTTTTTCTTTTAAATATCACTGTTACCTAAGCCTATCAAGAGGAAAAGTCAGTTAATGCCGTTGGCCTGAATGAGTCCCCTGCCCCAAGTCCGCGCTCTCTGCAACAGACGGCACGCCCTCTGCCCAGACCAGCTCCCACGCCAACCTCGGCCATCTCTTGTGAACGCGAGAAGAGGCTCAGCCCACAGAGCCCACCAACCTCCACGGACGCTCAGCCACAGAGAGCACTTCCACGGGAGCGGTTCTGTTTGGAACACACCATCTTCAAGGGACGGCACCACCTTCGCTGCAGCAGCACATCTGAGACGGCGGGGAGCGGATGGAACTGGGAGAAGGCATGACTAACAGCAAGCGGCACCTGACACCTGTGCGTGTGTCCTCCCTGGCGGAACCCTGCTGCTTGACAGAATGATCAGCCCCCACCACAGCTGGGAAACTGAAGCTCCAAGAAACAGTATGGTTTGTCCGAGGTCCAACAGTAGGCACGTCCTCAAGTCATAACATCTGGACTTCTAAGAATGTCCCTGGTGCCGAAGAACTTGCTGCTAAAGCTGGCCACCAGCGTTTCCGGCCTCCCTAACTTCAGAGGTGGCAGCCCTCCACCCTCTGCCCCTCAGCTGCAGACTAGGCCTCCCAGAACTGAATCCCAGCTCACCCACAACGGGGGCTTTCTCTCTCCTCTCCCTACCAATAGCTAACACCTTCACTGACGTAAGAACCAATGCCTCGGACACCTGTCCTCAGAAGCGGATCCACCTTGGAAACATTCATTCTACGATAAGGAGCAATCACACGCTCCCAGGCCGAGGTATCTAGGTCTACAGGCAGGAGATGATTCTCTGCCTGGGAGTGAGAACCCACACCTGGCCAAACCTCTCAGACCAACAGGAGAGCAAAGTCTCCACAACAGCCGCATAAACAGAGGTCTCAGGTATTAGCAGAAATGCTAACTGTGCCAAAAGATTACCCTCAGAAGGGAGCGTCCTTACCATGAATGCCCATCTGAAAAGATGTTTCAAAGTCATCTACGCCTATGCTAGTTTGGGTAAAATATCACTTTTCCCTTCTTTCAACTATCATCACTGTCTTACGCTGCCGTTACGACTATTCTAAACTGTGCGGAACTACCAGTGCTTCTCAGCGTACTCGGGACAGCGTCTCTGCTGCGGGAGCCTCTCCGAAGGCGCCTTACATTTTCCAGTTATCGCGGAGTACGTAAAGTTAGACTCCGTTACCTTCCAAAGAGCAAACACCCAAACCCACTGCTGTCGAGTCGATTCCCACTCATGTCTAAATATAGGACAGAGTAGAACTGCCGTATAGAGTTTTCAAGGCTGTAATCTTTAAGGAAGCAGACTGCCATGTGTTTCCCCCGTGGAGGAGCTGGTGGGTTCCAACCACTGACCCTTCAGTTAGCAGCTGAGCGCTTTAACCACTGCACCACCAGGGCTCCTTAATGAGCAAATACAAGTGCAGTAATATAAATATCTCTGCACGAAACCATCCTGGTGCAGCAGTTAAGCGCTCAGCTGCTAACTGGAAGGTCGGTAGTTCAAATCCACACAGCAGCTCTGCAGAAGAAAGGCCTGACGATGTGTTTCTGTAAAGATCACAGCCTCGGAAACCCTGTGGGGCAGTTCTACTCTATCCTGCAGGGTTGCTTTGAGTTGGAATCAACTAGACAGCACACAAGAACAACACAAAACCATCCTGGCAAAGAACTTGATCCAGACTGTTTGCTGCACCCAAATTCAACAAACAGGAGCCGTGAGGATCTAATGTGTGGAAGATCTACGACTTGCCCCCAAGGTGATCACAGTGAAATCTGTGTCCCTCAGCTCTCCACCCTGGACCTGGGGGAGCTATCTGAAGGAATGGACTGCAAGGGACAAGCCCTTTTCACACACGACTCCAATTGCCACAGACCTGCGGTTGCACTTGACACCTTGGTGCAGCTCTGAAAACTCACCCTCCCCAGGACCCCCGCAAGCTGGCATCACTGAGCCGCAACAATGACGGGCTGTTAGCCGAGCAAGACATGCTTTCCTAAGTCACTTCCACCCCAGTTTCGTACACTGTTATGAGGAAAGTTTCCAACACAGAGAAAGCATCAACTAGAAAAATTTAATATTTCTGATTAACCGATTACGTGATGTTGCGTGTATGTACAAATCGTTCCGATTTACACCTTGGATTGGGACAGGCACGGCTCAGCCTTAACTACGTTTCTGTTGTCATGAAAGTAAAGTGAAGTAACTAAGCAGGGTCCCTAATAAGCAGATAAGCTGAAGGTGGGGATGTAAACGGATGGATGTAAATCTGATTTCCAGAAAGCATTTGGCCCCCTGGAAGCACAGCCTTCAACATCTGTAACTTGATGTCAGCATGTACTGCTCTGCAATCACAGACGTGGAGACATGCAGACTCACGAGAACCCATGCACAGAATGAGCATTTTCACGGATTGTTCCAAGGGTTTGTCTGCTTATCAAATGCAGACATCCCAGAGCTGACTGAGATGAGGTAAACACAACAGAGCACTCTTCCTAACCTTGCTCCCTCCTCCCCAGCAAAAACAAAGAGGTGGGCTCCACCTGCGCTGGCCTCAGAGCAAGGCAGCCCAGCCAGCCCCAGGTGACTGGACAAACCACGGGTCTCAGGGACCACCCGGCGCAGCTCAGCCTCTCTCCAGCCCTGAAGTCAGACAGCGCACAGGTCTCCCAAACCTCCCTTCCCACAAGACTCACCCCAGTTTTCAACAGTGAACCGCAGCGTGGGGGAAGTCCGAGACGCATGGAAGGAGAGTGCCGAAAAGGCAGGACTGCTCAGGGACATTTTAAAAAAGACACAAAGGTATGTGCCTAAAAACTAGCCTGACGTTTCACACAAGTCACTACAGCCATGAACTACGTCTGCCAAACGTTCCTAAAGGTCGGACGTATTTTCACTAAAAGGCCGAAAACACACATCACAAGCAGAGCGGACCTTCACTGAAACACTCCACAAACGCTCCAGCACCCGGAGTTTGCTGCAGCCCCTCCTCTCGGCAGCACCATGGAGACAGCCTGGGCTGTAAACCTCCCCGCGCTGGCCGAAAATTGGACCGTCCCACCCTCACACGGACGGGTTAACCCTCCTCCTCTTCCTAAGACACCAAAATTCTGCCAAAGCGACCGGTCCTGCTCCAGACAGCAGGAAGGGCCCCGGGAGGGGCGCCGTGGGCATGGCGGTCTTCACTACTGCCGCTGCCGCTACAACTGCGCCCGCCCATGTGACCCGCGAGGGCGGAGCCTCCGGCTGAGCCCACAGCCCTGAAGGCCGGGGGAGTGGATGGGAAGGAGGAGGCGACTCCCTCTACGATCTGCGACAGGCCGGCAGCTCAGGGAATCCCTCACTGTCAAACATCAGCTGCAGGGCCGGCGGCAGCCTGTGCAGAGAGACACTGAAGGCTGAGGCAGCTTCTGCTTCCCGAGCCTCCCTCTGCAAACGTTCTGGGTTCAAACCACCCTCAGATTCACTGGAGCGTCTGGAGAGCCTCTGACCGCCAAGGGCTTCAAGAGTCACAGAACTGACCAGGCGCTCCTGACAAGGTCCACGCTGAGCTGAAAATACTGAGCATGACAGCTGCAGCTAAGCTGATACTCGAGTGTAGTTTTGAGACAAGGACGCCACCAGGAAGGACGTGTGCCTGGAGCATTCTGCTCAAGCTGAACTAGAAGCTGCAGTGTTGGGGGCCCAGCCACCCCAGCTCCCACAGAGAGGCCACCCTGCCATGACAGCACCTTTGGGAGGGGTCTCTCCAGCCCCGTCTCAGGACACCTAACAGAGCCAGATGGTAAAGGAGCAGAAAGGAGTCAGGTGGGGACACGGGCTAGACACGAGGAAGGGGAAGCCCAGCCAGCCGAGTTCCAAGTACACTTGGCTCCCACGAGGCCCACCCTCCAGACAAGGAAATAAGCTGTCCCTGCCATCGCTGCTACTGCTGCCCACGGGGGCAGGGGCACACAAGGCCAGCCACCCCACTACGAGTCCACCGCAGCCAAACTGTGAAATTTGGCAACAAGCAATGCAGGACACACAGTGACAGACCAAGATGTCATGGGTGGGAAACCCACAGCCATACTGGGCGTGCACACACACATACAAAGTGCACATGCACAAATGTACATACACAGGGGTACATTATACACACTAGACTACATACACACACACAGTTATACGTACACATGCAGGTATACATCCACAAACAGGTGTACGCACACACATACACACAAGCGTACATACAAAGAGGAGTCTGTTACGCATACAGGAGCACATACACACGGGTACGAACACACACACAGATGGACATAAACACACCCAAGAGTACATATACACGCGGGGATACATTAGACACACACAGGGTATGTACACACACAGACATATGTGAACACACAGGAGTAGTGACATACACAGGTGCACATACGCATACATACATGTACACACACAGACGCATATGTACACAGACAAGTGTACACATACCCACACACACCCCTCCCCCCCCAGCCCGGGCTGCCACAACACCTGTTTAGAGGCTACACCTGTGCAGCCCCAGCCCCTGCATCGCAATCAAACAGACCGCCGCCCGCGGGGTAAGACACAGGTGACCTTAGCGTCTCCGCGAGTGCCGGCACTTCCCGGAACTCGGCGGCGTGCGCAGACCCGCCCCCTCCCCGCGGGGGGCGGCCACTTACCTGGGGGCAGCTGGAAGTTCTGGATGTTGGTAGGGTTCTGCGGCGGCTGCGGCAGGCGCGGGGCCAGCACGGTGGGCGTCAGGGTGGCCCGGAGGCCGG